CGGAAGCGGAAGTCCATTTTCTGCTACTATATTTTTTCTATTTTGTGGACACAAAATTATATATATATATATATGCACACACACGTACACATTTATACAATGTATAAATATACCTTTTCTAGACTGCGTTCGAAAACACTAGCCGAATATTTTTGAATATCATTTTATCTTTGTTGTTTATCGAATGTTAAACAAGAATAAAATAACTCGAAGACATTTGGATGTTGTTTTTGAATGCATCCCTAGCAGGTAGAATCACTTCAGTGTTCAATGCTACATATATTTTTATCTTTAGTTTTTAAGTCTATTAATTTGTACTCAAATTTACCTCAAATTTATCCTGAATTTAATTTTAAAATAAACATTGCAAATTTGCAATATTTGCCCATAAAGATCCTTAAAAACCAACCTTTCAGAAGTTGCTGTTTAACTTGTTGTTGCACCATATTTAATTGCTGTGGCGTGAAATCTGAGCCTGTTAAACCCTGCAGCACAATTCGTGGACCCTCAGCTGTACTGATAACTTGCGCCGTCACACATTTGATTATTGTACCGGGTGGTTGTCCAACCAATAAAGAAGCCTCAAGACTCCCTGGAATCGGAGTCGTGGCGGAACTCTGAGTTGTCGTTGTTGACATCGTAGACGTTGCGGTAGTCGTCGTTGGGCTCGTATTTGTAGATGATTGTGCAACTGTCGAAGTTGGCGTAGTTTGCAAAGCTAAAAGCACAAATTTATTCTTAGTATATAAAATTTTCGAAATATATGAAAGAGATCTTGTTAAGCGCACTTTTTTGAAATGCAAGTTCTTCGATGAGAATTTCCAGTTAATCTTTTCTTTAAAAAATGCAGATGATTAATTAGAATAACACTAACCTTGTTGTTTATTCGTGGTGACAGTACCTTTCACGATAAATCCGCCATTAGGAGAGTTTACATGCACAATCTGATTGGATGCGTTACGTATCACAACTTGATTGCCGATCGTAGTCAAGTGAGCCTTGCCTGACGCCAATTGTTGGACCAAATTTGCATTCGTGGCGACCATTATAGGACTCCCACTTATCACTTGTCCACCAGAAGATATCACCTACAATATTTTTATTTTACGTAAGTATAAAAATTATATGTATATATATATATATATTTTTATAATTAATTCTAAGTCTCTAAAATTTTGCAATTTTATTTTTTTTTATATATTTCTCTTAATTAAGCCTTTTCAATGTTTTTTAAGATAATTATTAAAAATTAAATTTTAAAAATTAAATAAAACTACTGAATTTAGATATATTATATTTAATATTTTGTCAAATTTTCAGCAATTTTTGTTAGGTCCATATACATTCAAAAATCATTTCATGATTCGATTTAAGTTAATTGAAAGAGTAATCACCTGCGCGGTTTGTCCTGTGTTAGTGACTACGATAGCATTCTTCGTTCCTTGAGCTGTTGAGACTGGTGCCAAAGTCATAGTCGCGGATTTTACTCGTTGAACAGTTTGTACACAATAGTTTGACTGAGGCGTTTGCGCTTGTTGCGGTGAGCTTGCTGTTGTCTTTGTATTCGGACTGGTTTTAATCACAGACGTACTCTCAGTCGCTGCCACTTTAGTACTAACGGCGGTCACAGTCTTCGTCTAAAATATATCAATTATAATAAATAAAAATTGTCGCATAAACATTCACACTTGTAGGCTCGTATTGACCCTGATGTAATTTGTTGTAGTGTTCTATAAACAAACTTATTATTTCCTTTATTTTCGAATCCTGTATCATATTGATTTCTATTACGTCGATTAATTATATAGCTTCTTTTTATACATCATTCTTTCACGATCAGAAAATTGTTTTCAAAAGATGTGTTTTTGAATAAATTACTTGTGAAGTAGTTGTAGATGTTGTCGAATTCGTTTGAGCGCTTTGTGCAATTGTGGTGCCCACAGTTTGGCTTACATTCACCACGTGCAGCTTTCCATCCGGCATTTGAACCAACTGCTGGCCAGGCAACAAGCCACGCACTTGTAACTTTCCATCTGGTCCTCTGAGAATTTGCACTCTCTGTGGTACAGGTGAGACATTAGTGCCTAAAAAAATACAATTAAGATAATATGAGAAAAAACCTTCCAGAAAGGCAATTTATATTTTGCATTTTAATATTTCGGAAACAAGAAAAAGATTTTAATTGTTATAATTAATATTACTTTAAATTTAAATAACAGATTTACTTGTTGGTGTTATCCTAATCACAGATTGCTGGCTTAGCCCTGGAGTTGGGGGCGTTTTCGGTAAAATACTAGTAGGACCGGATACAACTTTAGTAGTTCCATCAGCAGCTAAAATAAAGCAATAGAATAATTCATACAAAGTCAATCTCAAATAATCTCTTTGCTCAAATGCAAGAACATGGCTTACATTTCGTCATATAAATTCGCCTTGTACCGATGAATGTTTTGTTTTGTGTAGGAGTTGTTAAAAGAGAAGTCAACTGTGACTTATTGCTGTTCGGGTTCGCCGGAATCGGGACTTTTGTAACTAATTTAACGGTACCATCTAAAAGTAATATCTCTTTTAATATAATCCCAGTTTACTTTAATTTCAACAAACAAGAACAAATATCGTTTTATGTACATTCATTCTTATAGATTTATACATATAATCAGCTTACCAGAAGAGGAATTGGTTGTAACTTTAACAATGTGAGAGGTAGCAGGCGATGTCGAGTTTCCGGATTGGTTTTTAACAGTCAACTCATGCAAAGCACGTTTTTGTTGATGAGCCGCCCGTTGCATGCGCAACTGCTGTTCCATCTTTTCTTTAATTTCTTCTGGTGTCGCTTTGCCGCTCACAAGCTGATCGCCAGTTAGACCAGCTGTGCCACTGGTAGTAGTAACAGTAGTGACAGTCTTGTTTCCACTATTGACGATTACTGACTGCGGTGCACCTGAGCGACTCCTAGTAATAATCTGCGCATTAGCCTTCTCTAACCTGGAGACAGGACAGACACACCAAGCAAAGGGTTAGTTCCCAATGGAAGAAAGCAAGCGGTTAAAGATTGAAGGTTCAGCCTTTGGTTGAAGGTTAGATCCATACTAGGATGAATGGCATGAATTATAAAAGAGCAAACAGCGACATGTTTTACACGATATCGCAATTTGTTTGAAACGAAAGAGATACATGGAATATGCATTTTAATTTCCCAAGATTTGTGATAATTTAAAAAAAATATATTGTACATGAAAATTATACAGAAAACATAAACAATACATTAAGCATAAAAAACTTGTCACATAAATAATAAACTTTTATAATTTCTAAATTTTTAATACATTTTAACAAACTCTTTTAAGTCTGTAGTATATAAATTCAGATTATTACACGTCAAAATTATATTCCAATAAAAATATTTTGATTTTAATACGAAAAATAGTATAAAAATCATTAATGTGTAATATTCCTTAATAAAATTTGAGTAACCTCGATGAAGTCGAAACGATTAGTGGCAATTGTAAAGATAAAAAGAATAATTCAGAAAGAATTTGACAAACAACATTAGACATACAAAATAACATGCAATGTTTCAATAAAAGATACATATTGCATTAATCATTCTTTGATCTTTACCTGTCACCATATTGTTTGATTTCCCATAATTCTAATTTATCTTCATCGACCCATTCCTCCGTAACTTGTGGTTTGGTGCTTTGTGGAGATTCGGGACGCTTTCTTTTTCTCAGTCCACTCCTTATAGACGTTACTTCTGCGAAAGTATTGTATATAATGTGAAAATGATTTTAAAAAAAGTTATGTTACTACTTTTTCGTAATATATACAACTATAATAAACTATCAATTAAATAATAAGTTTCACATAATTGAATACTTTAATAATACAATTATCGTCTATACATACCTCTGACTTGCTTTGGAAGTTCGAGCGGTATGACGACTTTTCTACGAAGATATTGAGCCCTGTCGAGGAATTGCCCGACATGTCGATGCTTCAATATCTCCAGTGACATGATCTCCGTATCGGTCGTGATCTGATTCTTACCGTCGGTGGACAACGGCTTGGCTGCCATGTCATCCCATCTGAGACAAGCCCAGAGTATTCTCAGCTGAATCGCAGCAGCGGCTAGCGATTTTAAACCAACCGTTCTGTACAACCAGCAAGTCTTGAATAAGGGTCTGGGACAAGGATATGGCCACACTGACATATTTGCCTTGGCTTGATGATGAAATCCTTGTACAGGTGTTTTACCACCAACGCGGGATAATTTCCTCAATTCGTGCCGAGGAAGTACTAGTATACTGCGTTGTTTGTTCTTCGTGCAGAAAGTCGAGCAGAGTGGATATTTGACTGGTGTGCGTTTTTTCTTACGATCAGCTGTCGTATTCACCACTTTTTTCAAATATAGCTTACCCTCTGTTGATGTTGCCGTGTATATTCGCTCGGTTCCATCAGCATGCAGTTCTTTGACAAATGTACTTCGCTGCACTGTCCTTCCTCTACGGTTCACGATTATCACTGTCTTTGCACCATTCTTATTTGTTGTTGTAGTCATAGTTTCCGACGAGACGGTCGTCGAATTACGATTAACGGCGGAATGCTCCTGCGTTACGCCGTCCGTATTTTTTACAGTCTGCTGAGTTGTCGTAATCGTTGTGGTGGTAGTAACGACGTTACTTGTGACGGTAGTCACATTAGAATTCTCCATATGCTCATTTTCGAGCTTCATCTTTTTTGGAGCAGAAACGTCCTTTGTGTTCATTTTCACTGCTTCATCGTTGCAGTTAGTTGCCACTGCTGATTCCAAATCCCGTTTGATCACGTCTTTTTCATCAGGAGGTACTTCTGTTTTCGCGGAAATCACTGTAGGCAAGGTTTGTGGCGAAGATAATGAAGAGGATTGATTGTTGTTCAGAGCGTTTGCCTTGCGTAATAGAACGATCAAATCGCGCTTCAGTCGCGCCTTTCGCATGCACAAAGGCGAATAACAGGTATCGATATTTGGAGTGATGGCCTGCGTGATATTAACTTGCACGGCATTATTTTTGGCGTTATTCATGTTACAATAGCGCGAGTAACAGCTACCGTTCTTACAGAATTTCAAGGCAGTTGAATATTGCAAGCGCACTTGCTGAATGCGCTTGGTAATCGTTGCCAGCATTTCTTTCGAAGACGGAGAGAGAGTTGTTACTGTCGTTTTATTCATTTGTTGCTGTTGCTTACCGGCAGGTGTCGACGAAAGACCTTGCTGAGAACCGTCTCCGCCAACACCAACAGTATTATCTGTATCATTTTCTTCGTGATTTTCCGTATCGATCTCCGAGCAATCGCCATCTCCGCCTTTCTGATTTGGTGTCTGACTTACTTCTTTCGCCTTTGCCTGCAAAAATATCGAATTTAAAAAAATGTTGGAGCTATTTTAAAGTAATAATACAGAAAGTATAACATTAACATTTTTTACGCCATCAGAATGATATAGATATATGATAGATATATCAGAATGATGGAGATATGATTATCTCCAGATTTGTGAATTATATTATATATATTATTTTATAAAGATTTTATAAAGATACTCACAGATTGCAATAATTTTCTTTCTTCCAAAAACTTCAAATGTGTTCTGCGCGCCAGGAAATCATCAATTTTCGTCTTTTTTGCAACTTTTGGATAATGCAATCTTCCAGAAGTGGTTAGTGCCTTGTTGATGTTGATATCTTCGAATTCAGTAATCGGAGTAAAAACTTTTTCAATTTTCATGCCAGCTAAAACTGAAAAGAGAGAATTTCTTCTGTTTAGTGTTTGTAGCGTTGTATAGTGAATTTCTATTTCTTATCAATAAAATAATAGTCTTTAAATTGTACTAAATTGTATTAATAAAGTTGAAAAATATTTTTATTGTATTAAATTCAAATTCATTAAACTTGCTACATACTTGATAAATTCATCTTTGTTTCTTGTTTGGCCGGGGATTCCAGTTTCACAGAGGAAGAATTAACACCGTTTGTCTTGCTGTCAATTATAGGCTCCTTTTTTACATTTTCTATATCACATTCCTGTTTTATTGTATCATTTTCTACTCCTTCCTCTTTGATTTCTTGTTTCACAATACCATTCTCTATCTTACTCGGACAATATTCTTTGATGAGGAATTCATAAGTGGATGGATCGAGCGCAAGAATTTTCAGGCCACTCTGATCCTTCACCTGTACCATAATTTTTTGTGGACCGGCTCGTAAGCCCGTCTTTGTCATGTCTGAGATTCGGTGACGGCGTCTGGACGACACCCAGAGCCAACCACCCTGGCCATGCACCCGATATTCTTCGCCCTTCTGCTTCCATACCTGATGCTTTAAGCCGAGTGTGTACTTGACGAAATTAAAGAGCCGATTACGCTCTTCTTCATCCTCTTTTTCTTTCTTTTCTTTTTTGTCCTGACGTTTCTTCTCCTCGCGTTCGAGTGCAGTTACTCGTTGCAATTTCACATGGCCGAGTTGATCATGCCACACACTCGCAAATACGACGGACTTGATGCATGCTTGCAAGACAATGAGAGTGCGCGCAAAGTCTCGTGGATTCACGCACGATCCCACTGCCGTAGTCCATGGTTTACGTAGTAGTGGCCAATTGATGTGCATAAACGACGCCTGAATATTACTTTCGAGCTGTAGAATCGTTTGACGTAGAGTACTGACTAACAGAGCACGAGTACCCGTCAAACTACCCACCCACTTGAACTCCGATGCTTGCGTAAGCGAGAACTTGTGCGACAAATGACGTTTCTTATCGCGCTCCTCGTTTCTCTGAGTCTTATTTAACGCGATAGGATTGGTGCTGTATTGATTGACATACGACTTAAAGTTATTGTCCATGCCCAATTTGAATAAGTGTGTGCCAGCTGCGATTTGATGTGCCTTTTGACGCGTTACTCTGATGTTTCCGTCGCTTTCGGATTCTTTTAGACCCTTGTCTAACTTCTCTTGCTCTTCCTTCGACAACGGTGCCATGCTTCGTCTTTTTATATCGTCCATGTTAAAGGTTCGCGGTTGCAACGAACCAGTCTTCGATCTCGTCACGATAGTATGCTTTTTGCCTGAAAGAAAAGATTATTGTAAACATGTACGAATAAAATGAATCAAAGTATAAAAAAGTTTAAATGTTCTGTAAAAGTCAAATCTATTCTCCAGACACTCTTCTAATGTGGAGAAACCAATCAATAAAATTATCAATAAAATTCACAATATTACAGAATTGTATTATAAAACTTACCGTCTTTTCCTATTTTTTCCTCTCCTTCTAAAGTGTCCTCGTCAATGTCTTCAGATGATGACGTAGAGGTGCTAGTTTTCGTAGTTTTGTCCGTATTCGTCGTGTTTGACGCCTCGGCATCGACCTCAACAGTTTCGCCGATCACTTCAGGTACTTGTGTAGCTGGAGTCGACTCGTCACTGGAGATTTTTGTTTCACCTTGTTCCGTCATTACAGTAGTACGTTCATCAAGAGCATCTGTATTCTCGTGCATTTTACGTATCATTTCCTCAGCTTCTTGCCTTTGTTTTTCCTTTCTCTCTTCCTCCTCTTTCTCCTGTTTCTCTTGTCGTTCCTTTTGTATCTTTTGTATAAGATCTAGAGAAAATATTTCAAGAGGTAATTATTTTTGAAAATATTGTTCAATACATATAAAATTTGATATTCAATGTTAATTAAAAGAAATTTAAGAAATAATGTTAATTAAAAAAGATTGATCTTACTGTTTTCTGTTTCTATATATGATTTCTTATTTCCTTTAAACTGATTAGTAATAGTCTCTGTAAGCTCCATTTGTCGGACTATTTCTTCCTTGTAATCTGATAATTCACGATAAAGCGCTACTTCCATTTCATTTTGATCTAACGCAAGCATTAGCTCCTCTAATTGTAAAGGTGTACTATAATACCACACTTCACCGTCTTCGCTTTCACTAAAAAAAAAAAAAATCACAATAAAAATTTTAAATTATATGCGTATAAAAATAGAAGCATGTCTTTTGCTTGTCTTCCGTATTCAGATTTATAATTTCTTTTTGAAAACATCTCATAAAATTCTGTAAATATTTCTTTTGTAAGATAAACATAATTTAAAATATTTTAAATATAAATGCAAAAGATAATTAATTAAAATTTTACAAAATCTTAATTAGACATGCAGATACATTAAAATGTGTCTTACACAAAAACTCTTCTTGTAAGAAACCAATATTTTCTGCCATGTCTGTCGAATCCTAAATGCTCTTGTCTACATAACGATCCATTCTTTTCAACGTCAGGAATACAATCCGCAACACCAATCACTTTATGAGCTTTACATGTACTACATTGCCAATCCTCAGTAGGAACATCAACCAAAGGTGGTTCTACACATTCTAAATGAAATACAGCTGGACAAGTCTCACAACACAACAGATCTCCTAGTCGATGGCATACTCTGCAGTGATCATCATAATGCATAGTTCCTGGAAAATGTATAAATCTTGTCCATTCCATTTTTTCTGTCTCTTTCTCTCTCTCTCTCTCTCTCTCTCTCTCTCTCTCTCTCTCTTTCTCTCTCTCAATAAATCTTAAGCATTTTGTCATTATTTTACAAAAATAGAAGGAATTAACTTAAACAATCAATTAATTTCAAAATATCAATAATTTTGCAAATAAAAAATACATTTTAAATCATAAAATTTTAGATGAAAAAATTATGTTATAAAGTATAAAATCACACAAAAATAGTATTTGTGTAAATACATTCTTAAAAAATGTAATTCTAAATAATTTTTATAAAATAGAGAAATTCGAGTGTAGATAACAATTTATAACAATTCGAATGTGTAGATAACAATTTATCAAGATATTGTAGAAATATTTAAATGTCAAGCTTAATAAATCTTATCTTAATAGACATTATTTTAAATATAAAGCATCAACTTTGTTTAGTTTCGTAACTTTTTTTGAATTATTATTAAAAATATCTGTTATTGTACAAGTAACTGATACATCAGCAGGGACACAGTAAATTTTTTCCTTGCCGACTTTGGATATAATCCATGCTGTTTTAAATATGTATATACAAAAAGTTATGGAATATAAATGTTATGCATATGTAAAATATATTTTATTATATACCTTCATGCAATAAATCCTCTCTCACGGGATTTGTTATTAAGAATTGATCTGTTAAAAATTGTAGGACCTTGATTCTATCCTCGATGGCAGTAAAAGGATATTCAGTAGTGGTTAATGTCTGTAAAATGTTCTGATCAAAACCCTTATCGCTCTCCACATATGAACGTAGCACCTCTGGCCATGTCATGGAGTCCACAAAGTACAAGCTAACGTTCACCGAATCCTTTTGATCCAGTGGACCAAAATGTGTCTGCTGTGAGTCTTCCTCTCGCAACAGTGCCTTGATCAGCATAATATGAATCTCCGCCAGCAAATTAGTTTGATCTTCGCACATAAGAGCTGCGCAAAAATCCTCGAATCTAAAGGAGGAGAGACGTACCAGGGTGCGAAAGTGCCTGAGTACTTCGTAGATGGAGAGCGATGGCATGACCAGTTCTTTAGGGACCAACAGATCATCCGAGGACTTGGGTAACACTAACGGTGGCAGTTCTCTATTCTGTAGCCACAACGGCTCTGGACTAGGTGGCCGCTGTTGAGCGAGTAAAGTTTTTCTTGGTGTGCCACTAGTGGTACTGTAACTGGACAGTGAAAAATCGCTATCACTCGAGGGATCGGGTTCATCTATGCTCTCGGAAGATTCCATATCGGTTGGCAACGGATCTTCCTCCGGTTCGCTCTTCTCACTGGATTCATCGCCGAAATCAGAGCCATAGTGATATTCAGAATCATGATAATCCACGTTGGGGTTGTAACCACGACGCTGATAGGCACCACCTGTGGATCCGGCATGGCCACCCTTGCGGGAATGTCGGTCGCGACCACTACGTGATTTACGCTGATTTCTCGTGCTGCGCTTGCTGCTTTCCTCACTCTCGACCGATGGCGATGTCGGACGCGATGCCGTCGGCGTGCTCGGCTGTGAGCCCGGTGTCTCGGCGCCACCACCGAGCGCGCCGGCTGTCCTGTTCTGTAGATACTTAGGTTTCTTCATCAGATGATACTGAAACTTCTTCGGACGTTCCATCACCACAGACTTGGGCGGGCGCCCCCGCCTCTTCGAGCCCCTGCCCGTCATTATTGTCGTGCGTCGCCGTGGTACCTTCAATGATCGTCGTCGTCGTCCTTCTCACGCCGGCACCGATGCCGTCAACCTCGCTTTTTAGGAATACGATTTTCCACGCGGGGGGGGACTGTCGATGAGGGCTTACCTGTCCCGTTCAGCCGTTCCCTCTTACCGCACACCTCGCTCACCACCTCTCTTCGTCTCTCTCACTTCTCCTCTTTTCTCCTCTCCCGATCTTGCCTCCTCACTCAGCACGTGGCGCGCGTGCTCGCACGCTTGTAAACAAACACAAGTGACATCGCCGCGGAAAGGAGCTGGTTCCATCCATGATGTCCGATGCACTCTGATCTTTGCGCCATTTCCCACGGCCGACGGTCGGTTCGGCGCGGTCACGTGACCAAACACAATCGGCGCGACGCGATGCGCCCGCGAAATGCACGTCAACGCACGACGCACTCCCGTTCGTGGTGCCGTTCCTCGTTCGGCGCCGCCGTGCGTAACGTTGAAAAAAAGCACTCGCCAAATTCGAGATAGCGAGATCGGCGACGCGAATTACGCCAGAAGGGGGTCTCTAGCTGCGCCGCTGGTTAGCGGTAGTGGTGGTAATGTCGGTGGCGGTAGCGGGCGAATGGAGTCGTCGTTATCGTCGTTGAATGGCGAAGCGGCACGAGAGAGCGGCGCTGCGATTGGCTCATCGCTCTGCCGCCATGTCGGCCGTTTGGCGACCAGCTACGATGAAAAAGATGATCGGGCGACCGCTGTTTTACGTACCGCTCGATTACGATGCCTCTAGGAATCCTTAGGATGTCCTCGATTATCTGGATGACGAACGTCGAGGGTCGCGCCACGTCGGATCACGCAAATTTCTTCGATTCAGCCGAGACGCCTGCGAGCTCCAATCGCTTCCACCGTATCTTCCTGTCCGCTGGCCCCTGTCAGATCGACGTACAAGATAGGTGGCGACACAAGCGTGTTCGAAAGAAAAAAACGTAATTCTAACCGCAATCTTGCGAATACGGAGCAACGCGGACTCGCGTAGGACGCGTACACGATGAGAGAATTGTTGATGATAGATGAACGGTATTGATTACAATGAAACAAGCGATACAATCCGTTTTTTCGTACGTTTTAATTGTGATATTTCTTGGAGTACACGAGTCCAGGATGGCCACAGATTCACAATCGTGCGAGAATTCGTTGATAGAGGACACTACCGATGACGCGACGCCGCCATTTTGTATATGTTTCTCGATCGATAACCTCTTGCGGTTTCGCGGTTGCGTTTCAGCAAAATTTATATCCTCGTGGATCGCGCGATGTCGATCTTGGTGACATGAAATTTCGAGGTTTTTTGTTTCTTTCCTTTTACTTTGCTCGCGAAGCCATTCACGCGAATTGCAAACTTTCTGACTACTTTTATCGCGCCATCTACAGAAATTCGAGTCTTCTAGAGATTTCAACCATCTCGCGCGAGTCTCGATTCGATGGATAAGGAAATTTCAAAGTAAGGAATATAAGCGAGAAAAACGAAAATTTTCACCAGAAAATTTGATCAGAGATAATAAGAAAACCGAAGGCTTGCTCTTTTTAATTAAACTTTGAACGATATTAATCTTTTCTCTTTTTCTTTTCACGTTGGAGAGAAAGAGAAAAAAGATGAATTGCAAAAAATTCAACTCGAAATAGTTTGTTGCTCAAATCGAAAGGCTAAATATAGTCTTTGCTTTCATTTCGTGCTTATTTTCCCTCTTTATGATAACTTTACCGACAATTGTGTTTTTCTTCATTTGTTTTTGTCTGACTCTTCAAAGTTCGTCCACATTTTATCTGTTCCAGAAATAAAATGAAAAAACTGGATAATTCTATCAATAGTTTAATCTCGATTCAACTAAATTTTCATCTTTTCCTAGTTCTAAGAATTAAAAAAAGATGAATAAATTAAATATTGGTAGAGGTAAAAGGCAAAAAGTAAACAAGAGATAAAAAGCAATATAGCAAGAAACAGAAAGCAAAGACACATGATTAGATTCTTTTGGATATTTTCCTTTTCATAAGCATATAATACTTCTTTCTTAGCATTCCATTAATAAAAAGGAGACATTTATCGCCTTTTGTGATGATTGCATCCATTAATTGAAAGAAGATAAATGTGAAATGATATGCGTTCTTTTGTCTTTCTTTACATCTAACCGATTCGATTCTGATGACAGAAACGAGGCTAGTTAACAATTTTTAAGAAGAAGAGGAAGAAAAGGAAGAAGAAACAGATTTGTGTCACTAAATGGTCAACATCTTAGCAGAGATCGAGAAAAGAATCATCGCCGGACAATGAGATTGAGGTTACCGACGGAGAACCGCTGCTCGCGCGCCATCTCTCGGCGCGCAGCACAACTACGACGCCATGAAGGAAAAACGTGGTCGTGCGTGACACGAGAGTGCGCGAGTACGAGCGAACGAGAGAATCTGAGAAACGGGGCATGGAACGATAGATTTTTTTCGACTTGACGTGCGTGAGTCGTTTTCGGTTGCTAAAATGAGCAGCCACGCGACGATGGCGACGACGTCGACAAGGATGTACCCGGTGCAACCGTTGGTCGTCCTACCCGCGAAGTTTCCGCACTCGAGTTCCATGTACAAAATGCGAAATATTCACGAAGACACGATTGACACCCTGCCCTGTTGTCACGATACCGCCAACACCACCGCCACCGAAGCCAAGATGCCCGACGACGCCGTTGTCTCGCAGGTTATCCGCCTTCTGCAGGTTGCCGTTTCATTTCCGTTTGACCGGAACCTGCGGTTGATATATCGCCCGTAGCCGCGCGCGTGTCCACGGCGGCTCGCGAACGCGCGAGTTGTCGATCGCGGCTGCGGCCGCGATCGCGATCGTCCAAACGAGCGAGACATGATGACTTCCCGAAAATTTCCGCGGGCATACTGATCCGTAATCGACCAGGAGAGCGGAGCAGCGACGTGCTGCGGTTCTCTTTCTCTTTCTCTCTCGCCGCCTCGAGAGGCTTGATCGATGTGTCCCTCCCTCTCTGGGATCCCTTTTTTTCGAGTGATTCTCAGGGGGAAATGTCGGCGATTTTTCGCAGAAGTTGCTTCGTGAAACAGAAAAGAAGGCATGTCAATTGAAATCATTGAAATATAGCATGAACGCGAAAGAAGCGCGGGCGATATTCCGCGGCGATGTGAACTATTTAACTTCCACGCGCAGAAGAGGGAGACGCGCGATTCCGATTGTCGTTGTAGAAAAAGTGCGAAGATCGGATAAAAGCAAACAAAAGTTTCGTTGTGCCATTACGAATAAGGGTTAATTCATCATTGTTATCATTAACGATATCAATTAATATCATTATGTCGAGCTTTGACTGGACGGCCCTCATGAATCGATTGGTTGGAATTTATTGTCTTTAAAGTATTCCACATGTAATATATATGTTTGCTGAGTTTTATGTATTTATCTGTCAAAAATTTCAGTACATGGTAAATTGAATGTAGGATAGCTTGGCATGTGTAGCTATTATATTTGTAATTAAACCTGTTCTTTTTAATTGATTTGGATTTATCTTTCTTTTTTCTTTTCCTATTGAGAAGAAAAGAGAAAAAATAAATTGTGTAAAAAGTTCAGCTAAAAAATACTGTGTTCGATGAGATCGTTGAAAGTTTTGATCTCTTCATTCATATATGTATCTAGATTTAGTTAGGAAGGATATTTATGTTGTATTATTATGTCTGCGTTGGCAATAAGATAATTATCAATTTTATATAAAATATTTCCTTCATTTTTTAATATCTACTTATTGTATTGACATTTTGATCTAGCATGCCTATGTGAACCAAGAAAAAAACAAATCTTGTTTGGAATTTATAAAGTCAAACATTTGATGTATGTATGTATAAATTTAGAACAATATATATGTTTTATTTATACAGCAAAGTACATTTAACTTTTTTTATTAATATTGTTTTGTAACATTCTAAAATCTCCAGTAGATTTTGTATTCGTATTTATATTCATATTGTTAAGTGCAAGTATCATTGCACAGGTATCATACATAAACTTTGACTCGACATGCATTTACACCTGTTGTTTTCCTTTTCCTACCTTTATTTTAAAAAACAAAAGACAACAGACATCAATACACTTCTTTAATTAAAAATCTTGAACATTGTTATGATACATTTCTTAAGTTCATTGTGATGTAGATTTTTTTTAGCATTTATGCATTTATGCATTTGGCGAATGTTTGATTTAAATATGTTGAATAAATGTCTTTATATAGAATATAAAATAATGTATGAGTAGAGTAACAATTAATATTTTTATTTTTAGGCACCTTTACCAGAATATGGATTATTAGAAGCTAGACAAGAGAAAATTCTTAACCAATTGGCGGAACTCAAAAAGCAAGTCTCTACATTATGCCACTTCTTGAAACAGTCTAATCAAATGGAAGTGAAACAATCTAATCAAACAGAAGTGAAAGATTCTGTAGAAGTCCAGGTTAACAATTAATGCATTAACTATAATTGCTCGCTAAATGTCATATTTAATTAGTAATTATGATTAATGCATCAATCGCTACACCATTTATAATAAAATTGCATTTTTATTTAATTGTTGCATAATAAGAAGGCTCAAATTAGGGACAGTTGTATATTTACAGAAATCAGTCATCAGCCACGTAGTATTGAATGTCAATCCAAGGAAACCACCATATTCAATACTGGCTTTACAGAAACTTTGGAAAGACATCCAGTTTAATGTAACATTACATACTCATTCTACTATGAAAGATGAAATACCTATTATTTTTCCTAAGCAGATTTTTCCTTCTACAAAAGCCGCACAATTTATAACATTAATATGGAAAGATGGTAAGATATAATTTTTATCTTTAAAAAAGGCATCTTTTCTTATAATTATTTATTTCATTAATTGGGGCTGCAATGAAATTTTGAAAAAAATCAGACTTTTACAATCAAACGTTTTATCATTTTTTCATCGTCCATTTATATTAGGATACACTTTTCTTTAACGATTTATTTAAATATCTTATATTTGATTGCATTCCTTTTTAGTTCCGGACATGGAGACAATTGTAAATACGTATTCCTGTCCCATAAGAGGTGAAGTCAATTTTCTCAGATTAATGAGTAGATTGATAGAATCGCATAATTACGAGAGCACATGCTCACAACCACAAACATTGGACTTCGCGCTTGACTTCACCAATTTCTTACACAATCAGAAATGTATAAAAGATGGATTGATTACATTAGCCAATGAATTTGAGAAATGGTCTTGCAAGGGTGGATTCAATATTGTAGACATTGCAGTGTGGTCTCTAATTAAACAATTTCACGAAACCGATTTACCGCCAGTTCTTCACGAGTGGTACATACGATGCGAAAGTTTTTTTACTAACGATTAATAATTACGACAAATAAATTTCCTTTTTATAAAAACTTTGTTAATAAATGGATATGAATTAGTTTTTCATTCATAAAATCATGCATTATTGATTTATACTTTATATACATTTGATATTCATCTGATACAAGAACTCCTTCATCGGAAATATATAATTTATAAAATTTAATTAATTTTAATTAATTAGATTAAATTAAATTAAAGATTAATTAAATTAAAAATTTAAATACTAATTAATTAAATTAAAAATTTAATTAATTAGTATTTAAAT